CTGAAAAAGCAAAATAAAGAAAATAAATATAGACTAATTTTATCAATGATATAATAGAGAGAAGGAAGAACATATTTTACATTTATGTCTTCTATTTGTATGTACTTTGTCTACTACTTGAATACTAACAAAAATGTTCACTTTATGTTCATCACATATCAAACCCTTATAGAACTAGCGTATATGTAAAAAAAAAAAAATTAAAAAAATCATCATATGACCAAATAATATGCATTTCAGATCATTTAAAAAAGTGGGATTTTCAAAGATAGGGAATAAAGGATAGAGTGTAACATTCTAACACAAAACTTAAACATTCCATAAATATATTAAAGTATGAAAATTGTTTAAAGTATTAAATTTAATAAATTATTTCTTCCAGAATCCTAACGTTCATTGTACTTTTGAAAATTACAGTAACTTATGAAGCATATCAGTTTAGATATGTTCAAAAAATAGACAAAGATATTTTCAGTTATTTAATCAAATACAATTATAATATTCCACCTCATAATATATGTTTGAGCAATTATCTGGTAAGAAATCAGCTTAACAGACATTGCTTCAACTTAAAGATTAAATCTAATCACTGAGTGTCTTGTTTATACAGTGTCTTGTTGTACAGCAACAAAATAAAACAAATTATTTTTTAACATAAGATTTTTTTCAAAGCACTTTTGTTTAGAGAATTGGAAGTTGATGAATTGGTCACAAAAACAAAATTGAGTCAGAATCAAATATTGAGCTATTTCACTTATGAAGGAGAGTCTATTTACAAATATGAGTGTAGCAGTTTAACAATAAAAAATATTTAAATAATTCCTTTGAAACAAAAATTGGTGATAGAATTGACTGTTCTTGTCTGTAAAAATTTGTAGAATGCAACAAATGACTTACATTACAAAATTCACCAAATATAAACAGTTTAAAAAATAAATTTTTTTTTTTTGACTATGAATTAAATTGGCAGCAGGAATATATACCTCTAACCCAGTGATTCTCAATCATTGTGTTGTGCAATCCTCTTAAGTGTGTGTCAAAATATTATATATATATATATATGGGTGTGTGGAAGTAGTAATGGTACAGCATTAATATTTGAATAAATGAATAAGTATTAAACTTTTTCAAATAATTATTTTCAGTATTCTTCAATTATGTTATTTTAAATACTTTGTTTTAAAATTCATTTTTTAAAAAGTATTATTTTTTAATTTAACTTTTAAAAATTTTCCTTTATTTGAATAAATGAATATTAACCTTTTTCCATATTTGTTTAATTCAAAATTTTTATAAAGTTGTATTGAATTATGAATTAATATTGTGAAAGTTTCCAAAATGGAGCATTGAGCCTTTGATTTAATCATTTTCCAAATTTTTTCATAGTAATATTTTATTACACTTTCATTGAGCACAGAAAAGTATGATTGGATTCTGTGGGGGTAACACAACAACTCAACTGATAATAGCAGGTAGGAACAAAAAAAAAAAAAAAAAACGAGGGAGAGTAACCGACAAAACCGGTGTCACATGTCCAACCTTCTCACAAGCCAAAAGCCCTCTGATCTGAAACAGAAAAACGTGCCTGCTTTATACAGCCGAGGACTGACCACGATTCGCATGCAAATGACGAGACAAGATTTCACGTTAACTAACCGAGACCGCCTAGCATAAAACATGGACGCCGCCATTTTGGTTCCTTTTACCACTAGCAAACTGGAGTTTGCACATCGCACAGATTCGCAGGTGTTTCCGAGGTAGACTATTTTTTTACAATTTTCCCCACACTCCTTCCTGATCTCATGATCACAAACAGGGCAAGGAGGTGGCGATCGTCGCCGTCGAGTCCCCCTCCGAAGGGGGACAATACAAGCTTCATCCTCATGCGTGTTCTCGTCTGTGGTCTGAGTGTCGGTAAACACTGTAAGAAATAAGGAGGCTGCTGTTATCAGAATCACTGCCCTGCAGGTCTAACTCCAAGCAGATTGAACGCCACTACTCTCAGACTCGGAATCGCTTTCATTCGCTCAGTAACGGTAGCAATTGCATCACCGGTCGCAAGTCTTTAATGTGACGAGGCACCCCATCAACTCGCACAGATTGCGGGCTGATCACTTCCGTAACACGTCCAGTGCCGTATTTTGTCGTACACTTGCCGCGTGGGTTTTTGACCCAAACAACGTCTCCTTTTTCAATCTCCTCCAGTCACTTCTAGTTCAGGCAGCGGGTTGGCTTCGATGCCTTTCACCCGACATGATATTTGTGCAGTGCATCAGCCAGCCCGTGGATGGTGAAACATTATCTTCCGGGGCAACATTATACCAGTAAACCGCCTCAGATACTGTACAGCCCTTCCTGGCTGCGATGGTCTTGACGGTTCTATGGTTTCGCTCCACGATGCTGTTTCCACTCGGCGAGTAGGCACATCGAAACTGCAGATGCACGTCCCAATTGTCCGCAAATTTTTTAAAGTCCCTACTGGTGAATGCAGTATCGTTGTCGGTCAGTATTTCCATGGGTGGGCCTCGCTCCAGGAAAACATTCTCCAAAAGTCGAATGACAGTGCTCGCGTCTTGTCTGCGCAGCGGCCGCCATACTGCAAACCTGGAGGGACCGCAATCAATAAGCGTTAAAAAATTCTCACCATTGTAGTGAGTTATGTCTATCACCAGTCTGCTCCAGTTGCTCTTCACGCTCAGTTCTCCTCTTTCCCAGTGAACGGATGCCGGATCAATCGACTGACAGGTTGTGCAGGCCTTCACAACGGATTTAACGCTTTCTCTGGACACCTGTGGATTGACTAACCTGGTGAAGTACAGAGTTCGTTTCACGCCCGGATGTCTGCTTTGATGATGGGTATTGGCCACCTGGTCCTCGTCCAGTCATCTCCCTACCACTGCACAGCTCTTGAGCGCCGGTTCTCCTCTCTTGAGCAGTTCTAGCCACCTGTGCGGTACTCTGGTGAGGCGATCCGCATGGTTCTGACAGGACTGTATGAGTGTCATGTCTATGGTCAATCCATATTCTTCCACCAGCGATCACAAAATGTCCAGCCGTCGCCTAACCAGCATCTCGCCAGCCGCCCTTGTGTTCACCTGTGCCTTCCCGGTCAAGGTTTCGGAAATCCACCGGTGCACACACACGGAATCAGTAACTAAGTGCAATGTTGTCGCCTCCCACTGGAGAGCTAGATTCACTCCTTTAAGTGCCGCATCGAGTTCAGCTAAATTAATATGCCTGGCATCATTAGTCAGACGCAGCCAAAACGCATCTTCGATGACATTTCCGTTCGCTTCCAATGCCACTCCTGTCGCCACGGAACTCGCATCCGCCCAGACTGTGATCTCGTCACCACTCATGCACCAGTCTCCTCCAATGGGATCCAGCTCCTGCACTCTACTTAACATCTCCGCTAGTATGCGACAGTATTCTGGGATCAATTTTAGATCGAACTTGTCCATTGCCGAAATAACTTGTTGGGGTAACACAACAACTCAACTGATAATAGCAGGTAGGAACAAAAAACCTTCTCACAAGCCAAAAGCCCTCTGATCCGAAACAGAAAAACGCGCCTGCTTTATACAGCCAAGGACCGACCACGATTTGCATGTGAATGACGAGACAACAAGATTTCGCGTTAACTAACCGAGACCGCCTGGCATAAAACATGGGCGCCGCCATTTTGGTTCCTTTTACCGCTAGCAAAATGGAGTTTGCACATCGCACAGATTCACAGGCGTTTCCGAGGTAGGCCATTTTCACAATTTTCCCCACAGATTCAAAATCCCTCCATAAATGTTCCTTCTAATATTGGATGTCATTTATATGAAGAAGAATAATTGGCCACCATTTCTAGTGATTGAGGGCTCAAAATAAAATATTCAATGGTAGCTATTGATACATCTTGGATTTCAATACAAAAGAATAACCCACATTAGATAAAAAGGCTTTATTAGTTTTATTGCAATTTTCTACTTCTTATTTATGTGAATTAAGCTTCTCAACCATAAATAACATCAAAAATAGAAAGCAAGAAAGACTACACTCACTAAAGAAGAGATGAGGGTCCGCTTATCATACATTCAACCAAACATAAATCACGAAAAAACACCAGGCATAGGTTTCACACTAAATAAGGTGCACAAATGATTGAATAGAAACATTGAAATAAAGTAAGTTCATATTTGTGTATTTTTTTTAATCTATGGTTTTATTTCATAACATTTAAACATATAACCTTTAAAAATTTTGTTAAGTGTGCTGTGATATTTTCATTTGATCTTAGGTGTGCTGTTGCTTGAAAAGGTTGAGAAACACTGCTCTAACCAAACTTCCACTTCAATACCATTGTGCATGTCTCCATTAGTTGCAAGAGAGTGTTACCATGGTGATCAAATGGCATTCTATATTGTTTAGAGATGAGAGCAACTTCTGCCTTCATGCAGGTGATGACTGTTTGCATGTGTAATGCAAATATGGGGAACAATAACATCCAGTATGTATTCACCCATAATATACAGGCCCAACTCATCATAGTGTAGGGTGCCATAAATTACAATTCCCACTCATTTTTGGTGCCCAGACTGGGATGTATGCTACAATATCACAAGATGGTCAAAAACTGACATTTTTAGCAGAATATCTATGCAGTTACTGTATTCAGGTCAAATTCAAACTCATACATTTTTTACATAAAACTGATTCATGAATTTGACGGCACAATGACAAAACCACCCAATGCTTGAATGGCTGGGAAAAGAAGAGCCTGTCTGCAGAATGTGTAGGATCAAAAAACTCAAACATGTTCTTCCACTCCATCATTATTTCATGTTCTCAGTGAGGAGAAAAAGTCTGCACAAAGAACTACCTTTGCAACAGACTCTTATGGCCTTATTGCAATTTACAGCCTGTCATCTGTGCCTTGGCAAGTCTGTTAATTTTTATCTTGCAGACCTGCAAAAAACTGTTTTGGTATTTGGGGCTTGGCATGTGCTTTCATA